ACTCTTCTTCTTTGAATGGTAAGTGTTGGTGCAGAAAGTATTGATTTGAATATCCTTCACCCGTAGAAGTGTTTTTCATTAAATAACAAAATAATCAAGGACTTTGGAACAAAGTAACATTTAGTTGTCACATAAATAAATGCCAACACCGATATTCGAACCCAGGACCTTTAAGAGCAGTATTTTAAGAGCGCTCTTTTCATTTATACTTTTGTAGTACATTTGTACTCGGATAATTATGCCGAAACTGGTGGATTTTTTTCTCGTGTGACGTCAAATTTATACGTCAATATCGCGTATCATGGAAATGCGCACCGTGCCGTGTCGATGCACCGACCCAGCGTGCCACCTGTTGACCTTGCACTAGCTATATTAGCCGGCTGCGCTTGATGCTTTCCTTAACGAGGTTTTTATACGCAAAATTATATAACTAAAAAAATAAAAAAACACTATTTCTACCAAGCAGCCTACTAAGCTTTTGCTGAAATGCTAAAAAACTTAAAGAGAGGTAGGGACATTAACTTATTTAACTTTACGCGCACCACAAAAATATTTTTAACCAAGATCCACCATCCATCCAGAGCTTGAAAAGGATCCGAAACGGTAATAACCATATTAAAAAATCTAAAAAATGCATATAATAAAAAAACTATAAGGACTGAACAAGTTCAATGATGTTCTTTAACCGACGAAAAAAACGGAGGAGGTTCTCAAGATGACGCGATTTTTTTTTATTTATGACCACGCATGAGTTTCTGCATATTTTGATAATTCTCTTTTTTATTGGAAAGGGTATACCCTGAATTTGGTGTCATGTGAATATGGAAAAAAAATCCAAGCCTAAGGGAATGAAAACATGGGATAATTGACTGTTCAGTCACTGATTGTGATATATGAGCACACATAACTTTTTACAGAGCAGTCCGATTTTGATAATTCTTTTTTATTGGAAAATTTATTATACCCAGCGGTTGATCCCAATAGAATTTAAAAAGGTAATCTAACCCTAAAGGTTTGAAAAAATTCCACGTGGACAAGGCAGCAGACTTGACTCAATCATGCATAAAGTACTGAACGGATTAGTATAGTTTATGTAGTTTGTGACCAGGACACTCACGAGACATAAATACTCTTTATCCTGGAAAAATTACAGGTTCCTGTGGGACTCCGAAAAAACTAAATTTATCATGGACAAAGTCACGGGCGGCCGCTAGTTATTAACAAATAACAATGTTACCGCTAAAATTACAAAACCAAATTGTAAATACCAAACAACATTGAACGAAGACGGACGAATACTTGTGACAACACTTGAACCTTAGATAGAGCCTTGTCAGCGTATTATAACGACAGTAACGACCCACATTCTAGATAAGATGCTAATGACGACGCTAAAAAGTAAACAATGAACCCGTGAAAATGCACCTTAACACTCGAATAATAAGGTATTTTTATGAATGGACGCTTTTACGACACGTGCTGTTGCATATATTGTACGACTCTTTAAACAGTCTTGAGAGGTGCTAAACATGCTTTGAAGGGCTTGAAGTAAAAAAGAAAGCAAAGGGAATTGCCATAAATCTTTAACGCAACATATTTTCCTAGAACTTGACTTACTATGTCGTAATTTTAAATTATGAGTAGTCGAGGCTCATTTGAGCAAAAGTTCCTAAATATTCTAAATGATTAGTAAATATAGGCCCATTGTACCGAATTTATCCGGGTTTATCATCAACAAGTTTAACCGGGACGTAAAACAACCTTTTGTTATCCCGAGATATCTTTTATTGCCAAAATTAGGGATGTACCATTAATGGTGCAGATGAAACTGGTTAGGGGCCAACGAATCACATCATCTGCACCATTTTGATAATACTTATACTATAATGGCGGCAGGGTTGCCAGCCTTACGAGAATTCTCGTACAAATACGAGATTCCTGGTCTTCCGTACGAGATACGGGAACACTACACAAATTTACGAGATTTTGTCAGATTAATTTATACCATGATTTTTCACTTTTGGCCAACATGTTGGAGCATAAGCCGTAAGTATCCAAACCAGTATTTAAGGCATTTAGCTACTAGAGGTTTGAATCTAAATACTGGAAAAACATTTATTTACAGTCTATATAGTATCAGTAAATTTACCAATTCTAGGGTGCAAATCGTGTACGAGGATCGAAAGCAAGATTATGAGATTTTTAGCTGCAGAAGTACGAGGCACAAAAAATCTATTGTTGGCAACCTTGAATGGCGGTTATATAGTTAAGTATTCTTATTAATGATGTTGTAAGTCAATCATGCATTCGGTACTTCGCCAATTTTGGTTATAAATGGTACTTCGGGATAAGAAAAAGGCTGTTTTTCATCCCGGATAGACTTGTAGGGGTGAAATAGGGTTTGAGAATTATTGGTGTGCATGGGTAGGTTAGTTAGTTATGGTAGTTATCTATTAATAATACGATTCAGTGCATAATAACGTGAAGATAATAGTAAGAAAGAGTGAACATGAGGTATTGACCAAATGTTTATATGATGAAGATGAGCATTTGTACCCAATTCAAAGCTATATATGAACATATATTATTTGCACCATATGGTGCAGAAGCCTCTATTTTGCCAGTTTTTCATTTAAATAATTTACCAATAGGTACTGTTACGTTGCCAATAGATACAAAATGAAATGTGCGTGTTGTAATGAGTGTGTAGTTAGCCATAGACACACTCATAAATCAGGGCAGACTCCCGTTTCCGGCGGCGCGACCGGATGCTACGTACCTGCGTCTTCCGGTCCATTCAGTTCGGAAACACGGTTATTGGGCCCTTTGTGGTGTCTATGGGATATATGGGAAATAAACAAGTACCTACCCGAATGCATTTTGGTTGCTATTGATATTGGGAATAGATAAAATGTCATTTTGTGTAAATATTCCGGCTTATTATCTCCCATTCCGTGTTGAAACTCTTATATGAATGGGCTATATAGAGATGAAAAGAAAAAAAGGTTTGTATAAAAGTTTTTTTAACCTACCATTTTTTTAATAAAATTGTGATTTTCATTCATCATCAGCCTATTAATGTCCCCACTGCTGGAGCCGTATGGTTGGAATAGGGAGATTTGGCCATGACCCACCACGCGGGCCCAATGCAGATTGGCGGGTGCTAACGACTGCAGATGCAGCTAGGACCAAAGGCTTAAAGTGCCTTGCGAAGCACGGAGGAACTCGCGACAGCAGATTTTTGATCACCCATCCAATGACCGACGACTGTGAAAGTTGCTTAACTTCAACGACCGCAGCCGAATGCGCTAACCACTTGCGCTATAGAGCTCCTCGAGATTTTCTTTAAGTGTGGATTAATTCACAACATTAAGATTTTTTGTGTGGCATGGAGGCAGGTGGTCGCTAGTATAAAACATAATATTATTGAGTTGTTTAGTATTAAGTTTTTTTTTCATATTGCTATTTTTCTCTTACTAAGGTAGAATCATGGGTTTATCTGCTTTTATTTAGTAGCTTTTGCTCGATGATATGACTCCATTGCGACAAAAAGCAAATTTTAACGAAACAGTGTTTATTTTTCAAAACAGCAAAACCGATTGAATGAAATAATAGAATCTTAAAATTTATATTATGTAATTTATTCTCTGCCACTGATTAATAAAATGACCAGTAAAATGTCACCATCTCGGCTGCTACACAACAAATTTATATTATTCTGTGCTACTGTCCTTTTAATTTAATCCCATTGTTCTCAAAACGGCTTTAATAAAACATCATTTGGTTGAAAAACCAGCTCTCACAATACAGATAGCTTTGTTTGATAGAGTGGACGCCTTTATACAATTTCTAAAGAAAAGTTAACTTTACTTTTGACGTCTTTAAGGTAAAAAACTCTCTAACTTAACAAATGGATGTAAATGAAAATTATGTGGCCAACACACAGTATGAGCCGCAGAAAAGACGACTTTAATGACATTAAACGAAGAACAAGTTTTAGTGACATCGTTGAATAGTGTGCAGCTGCAAAGGAAACTAAATCGAATCACAGTAAAAATATGGCTCGTTTTTTAGTTACCATCTAAATTTCTTTTCATAAATGTGACAATGGCCATACAAAATTTACGCGGCTGATGGTGTGATTGTTGATTTCTGCAGGTACGAGTTTTTGTTAAATCTTGATTTTTGACCACATTTACTAAGTACAGATCGCGGCACGTAACTCTAGCGCTGAACAAAACGCGTCAGGGATAGCTGCGCATGGGTACGACTGGAGAGCCAATCGGCGCAACGCACGCCCGCCCGCGCACCTCATTTCCCCCCAACACATCTTAATTTTTACTTCTGCGCAATAACGGTCAGCGCTAAAGTTTCGTGCTGTGACTTATATTTTGTATTTAAAAAGGGTGGCAAACTAGCTTATGATTGGGTGTGATGGTAAGCGGCCACCATAGCACAGTGTTACGAACCTTAAAATTGACAAACGCCTTTGATGTCGGACGATGCCGCCTATTAGTCTCAAATGTGTATTTTTTGTTTTTGAGTTTGTATGCTGGTAGTCGCGGATAACCTTTATAGCGTCACCGGGTTTGGGGACGACGAGATCCTAAGGGGACCTCAAGCCGAGAATTGGCGAGTGCCTCTAGAGGTATTCCAGGCGGATGGCATCTCCCCACAGGGGGAGTGTCCTCTCCGTCTGGAGACTCTAGAGCACTCGAAACTGAGGGGGTCGGCTCAACTAGAGAGTCTCTGAGACTCGGACTTCGGCTCTAGTTAGCCGTTGTCGTGGGGTCAAATGTGCAAGGCTTGTTAGTAATACTTTAACTAAAGGTAAATGAAAGTAAACAATTTTACTATTAAAAATTATGTAGTATTCCCATGAAAAATCTTATCATAGAAGTTGAGGGACACAATACCTGCAGGAGTTTAACGGCTTAAAAGTGAATCTTACTATCATGGAAAAACACAGAATAATATGAAAATAAATTAAAGTAACATACCCATTTGGCCTTCTGGCCTATCGTAGTCCGGAATCGTAAGGGGGCATACACTCGACTTTCATTAAAAACACTTTAGTATACACCCTCAGAGTCACGTCAACACTCATTAGCACTCATCTTTAAAACAGGGGTCATCAACCTTTAAAGAAAGAAAAATAACAGAAAATCAATAAAAAAGATTAAAACTCATTTTAAACAGGAAAAAAAAGTTGTTTCTTTTATATTATTATAATCTTCATAACAGAAAAAAATATTAAACCAATCCAAATAAGGTCTTTTAAGGTACTATATAAAATAAAATAAAAAGGGAAGTGAAACTGGTTCATGTCAACGGTATATTGCTTTTTCACGATTTGTAAATTTTTACGAAACAATATTTGAATTGCTACCCTACATAATACTTCCTAGACCTATTTAGGACCAAAAGATTTTAAAAAAATTGCCCAAGCGCAGATTTTGGGATTTACTTGAGCGCGTCAGAATAAGATGAAAATCAACAATCGGCCATGACCAAAACTCATGGCCGATTGTTATTTTTTCTATGCTGCCTTAGACACTGAACCCTATATAAAGGTCTTCGGTGTGGTGGTACTTTACAAGGTGCGAGGTTCCCTCCTTATGTTATTTTGACTTGAGTAAATCGGAAACCCCCACTTGGGCGCCCCAACTATTAGGTGCTATCGTTAAAAATTGTTAGTTCAAAAATGCTTTTTACAATAAGTAGATATATCTTTGATGACCTCTGTGGTGTCGCCAACTCGAGGGGTCCCGGGTTCGAATACCGGTGAGCGGCAGATGGTTGTGTGACGAATACGAGCATTTGTACTCCATTCATGGATGTTTAATATGTGTTTATATACATGTAAATATATGTATTCTATCACTAGTATCCTTTAACACAAGCCTTATAGTGTTTACTTTCGGGCTAGGCTAATTGGTGTGTGTGTTGGAAATATTTATTATTTAAACCATAAATCAAATAGAACGTATAAATAAAAAATAAATGAGTATAACCCTTACAATATTATTTATTAACTTAATATTCGTAGACCTTGTGTTCTATACTCAATAAAGAGCTTATTACGATTATATTAATAGAAGGGTTTCTGTGTCTACAAATTATTTGTAAGTAACCTTATTACATTATGTATCAATATAAAAGCATTTCAATAATAACTAGTCTAGAATTCTAGATTTTAACCGAACAAACAAGTTGAAGCCGTAGCCCCATTGGTAAATATAATAAATACCATTTCCATATTTTTAACTGGTGGAACTGAGCAAGAATTTATTTGGCTCAACTAAGAAGTCGTAAAAATCTTTTTTAACTCTTAACCAGTGTTTAAAAAGAAGTAACGATTGGTTTTCGGGTCATATCTTCATTGTGGTATACAATACACCAGCAGATCCTATAAGTAGCTCAATTCAAACCTATAATAATGTTTAAATTAGACTTGACGACTGATGTCGGATTTGAATAAATTAATAATAATAATAAATAAATATTACCAACACTCACACCAATTAGCCTAGCCCCAAAGTAAGCACTGTAAGGCATGTGTTATGGAATACTGGGGTAACGGATAAAATACATATTAAACATCCAGGACTGGAGTACAAATGCTCGTATTCGTCACACAAACATCTGCCCCCACCGGGATTCGAACCCGCGCCTCTCGAGTCGGCGACACTATAAAACCAAGCGTACAAAGCACTCGGCTACGAAGGTCGTCAATAATGAACAATAGGTTAATATAGTAAAAGATATATCAGTACCCCTAGCACGAACCATTATCGAATCCGAATAGTTTGCGAGTGCGAAAGGTCAATGTCAAATTTTGTATGAACATTGAACAGTGGCGCCACAAAGTACCTACGTAACGAGAACTAAAAATCAGTACACATTTGACAATGACATTTCGAACTCGCAAACGTTACGAATACGATATTGGTTCGTGCTAAGAGTAGAGTACTGTCACGACAGAAAATACATTTTCCTAACACAAGTACAACAACGAAATTATAATTTAATATAAACACTATGTTTTCTTTACCATGTACCACGTGTCATGCCATGCATACAACGAAGCATTCATACGTTATTTATTTAAATTCTATGGCGTTAAGTGTCGCCGCACACGGGCCACCGACTACAACCACAAAACGCCGCCACTGGCATATTTCTTGTAGTTTTCATACATTTTAAATGGACTCGCCACACGGTACGCCGCGGGCCGCCACACGCTACAAATCGTCGTTGCTCGCTTCTTGTGGCCCGCACCGGCCACATAATGCCCCGATACAAAACGTCGTCACAGGTCACTCGCGCGATTCCCCACCCCTCTCTCCCTTACCTTAGTCGGCCGCTGTCGCGCGCTTCAGCCACCGTAGTAGCCGCTTCTAGCTTCTCGTGGCGGCGTTTATGGCTGTGGCGTGTGGCCCGTGTGCAGCGACACTTAAAGCTGTTTAGTAGCTAATAGATAATGGCCACATGGTTCACATCAAGCTAATGTCAAAAACTGAACGATCGCCTGCAGTGTTTCTACTAAGTATCGCTTACACAAACATCGAATAGAGTATGTTTGTTCAGAGATGAACAGGGAATTAAAAGGTCAAGTGCGAGTCGGATTCGCAAGCGAATGATTCTGTAACATGGAGAGTATTGTAATGTTTCAATTAAACCCATAAAAATATCAGTATCTCTATTTGTACATGAAGCTTGATTTACGTTTTATGTTATAAATAAAGACCCCATTACACTTTATTTTATTTTTATTTGATTCGTTTTGTTAGCGGCTACTGATGATAATAATAAGCATTCTGTAAGAAAGTTCCTTTCTGATAATATGATTATTATTCTCAAGTTATCGCCTACGATTCTATCAACGAAAGAATCGTAGGCGATAACTTTGATTAGCAAAAGACAATACATTCTGTTTGATATCGGTATCATTAAAGAAGAAGAAAAACTAAATTTAATAGTAGATAAGAAAGTTAATAAATTAAGCAATATTCCTTATTGGATTCAATAGAGTGAGAAATAATCTTTTTCGACCTCGAATGCAAAGTAATTGTAATATTGATAACTATTCATAGATATATTGTTTTAAACTTTCATGGTCACTATCATTATAGTAATATAAATTATTTACATTATAGTCAGTTACTCCGTGATCATGGCGCTTGCAACAGTGCCGAAATATCGGAAACTCGCTAACAACAAGGTACATGGTAACAATCTCGTAAATAATTTATATTCATAGATAATTCAAGTTACTGCAAAACATCTTTCTGTGTTTTATGGAGAATAAGTAAAAAATTAAAACACGATTCCGCGATGTTTTCACGACATTTCTGCAATAGCAGTGTGAATATATGAAACAAAAAGGGAAACTCCTTCTAAAGGAACACAAAATGTAACAGGAGCAACTGGCCGGCAAAAACAATAAGAAGAAGCCATCGGCCGGGAGTTCACCGATCGAGAATAGAACGTGTTCTAAATTTAAACAGGCAGTTAGTGAAACGCCGCGGGAACCCGCGCTCTAAATTCGGTATTATTTTTAAATTTCGAATCTTGTCGTTTTGTCACGTTCAAGGTCGCAGTTGAGGATGTTTCCGTCAGCATTCGAATTTTAAAACAGTATTTTTTTTTAATGGGGGAAATAACATCTGGCACACATTATTGTTTTTAGCCACAAATTCCTCAACTAACGTTTGGTTACAATAAAATTAGACACCGTTTGTGTTTTAATGGCTGCGTAAAAGTGTCTTAGATTGTAATTTAGTACACAAGTAAGCTTTGAAGATGTTAACAGATAAATACTGAACTAACCTTGCAAAGCACTCAAGGCCTGTGTGTGAGGGCGTTTAGTTCAATAATCTATGTATCAACAATTGGTTTCGTTAGGAAGAAATCCAATCAACGGATGCTTGGAGACAAATACTTCAGCAAAATCTTTTTAGTTGTCTATAAATTCAAGAAGAGGTATAAAATAGACACTTAAGTAGAGATTTATGAATGCAACTGATAATGAACTTTATTTTATAAATGATTACGTCAAACGTTTGATTTTATGAACTTTAGAAAGGGCAAGTTTTTAGTACGTTGTACGCACAATATACTTTAAAAAGCATCAAAATTTATAGTATCTATGACTTAATCTTCTATTTTAAATCACTATATACCGATATTTCCTTTAACAGAAGCCGGTAGGAAATTACGTCCTACTCAATTAGTTCTAATTTTGGAATGCATCGCCGTGCATTCTAAATTAGACGTTAAAATATATCCAGTTGACAGACGGACAAATCGATTCTTTTAGTAGACATTTCTGGAGCTGGAACAGAATTTTCATTAAGTTGTCGGAATAAATTAAGTACCTATTTATGTAGGTTCGTATAATACTGTTTTGTAAAGATTTAAATTTAAAACGAAAACTACATTAAATTACATAATGTATAAGGTACCTGATACAAATAAGGCCTATGCTGAAATAAGGCCTGTAATGCAGAAAAGTCTACAAAAATACTTTACACACGCATAGATTACAGTTCTACAACTCGGCAAACTGTGCACGAGCGGTCCGCTCGAGTTCATAGCGTCAGTAGTGGCGGTACTTTGTGAAGGACGAGCTTTTCATAGCGCGTTATTAATTTATTATAATCTTTAACGAATTTTAATACGTTATTCTTTGAAGTTTTGTTTCATGTAATGTATACGGATCACAATATAACTAAAGAAAAAGTTGACTATGACTTAAAATTTAACTTTTTAGAATATGCGAGTTAAATACTACTTATAACTTTTATGAAGTATAATGTACTAAATAAAGCGTACTTTTATAAATGGCCTTATTTTTATCAAATATATCTATCAAAATATATTCATTTTCCATTATTTAATAATATTTACGAGAAGATATGTTATTTTTCTAATTTTTGTTTGTATGGATTTTTTTTTTGTGTATTATTCTTTATCTCTTGTTTATATGCGACTTCAAATCTAAGACTAAGACTTCATATCTTGACTAGCAATTTAAGAATAATATTTAGTAAAATAAATTAAAACGTTATTCAAGGATCCCCAGGAAACACTTGATTAAAGGCTCAGAAATACATATTTTAATATAATTTATACTG